GAAACGACACACCTCCTAGCCTTGAACCATTTCTTACGACACACATGATTATTGTGTGAAACTGTAAAGGAGGGTAAGTGACCAAGATTAAACCCCTGGCCTTCGTTAGCCTCCCCTAACCTGGTTTTAGGGGTCTACATATGGGGTCCTTAGATAGCTGGAGCTTGGGTTTTTTCCTCCACCCTTGTCCCAGTACGACGACCGTGGCCCCAATTTAGCCCCGCACAGAGAGGAGTGGACAATAAGAACACCGTTTACGTGGATTATATTAGTCTTTATTTAAACTGTTATTCATCTCACACATTAGATAATTGCATTTCAAATTGTTATTCATCTGTCTATGTATCATGTCAATATGAAATTCCTTTGGTCCTTCAATAAATAAAACTAAGATATCATATACACATTTATTCTTTATACAATTTCATACAGTTAAAAGGAAATAATGTTGGTCTACTATCAGCTAAGGTGAAAGTGAGTTCAAACCCTTAGATAAGCCTCGCTGTTCTAAAATTGAAAACTAAGTACTGCAATATTTTTGCCTTCAATAACAGGAGTCTTAAATTAATAAAAACAAAAGAATAAAATAAAAAAAAAGTCAATTGAATTGTCAAGCTTTGCCACTTGTAGTTGTGTTGAGAGGATGAAGATTCAAAGTTGTCTTCAAGACTACAAAAAAACAAACAAAAAAGACTGATTCACGACATCCCAACACGGTGGATCTGTTACACGCTCCCTTTTTGGTTTCACCAAAGCGGGGCGGCGTCCTTCGGTCCCAACGGAAACCGGGAGAACATTTTTAAAAAAGGAACACCAAACCAAGGCTCTGGATGCCCCAGAGGGACGGCTTCGCCTTCGGCGGAAGGAAAAAAAAACAACTCACTATCCAAGTACGGAATGCAGAAGAGAGATCGACAGCTTTTTAGTGTTTTACACGACAGCCTACACTGTACAGGTAAGGACAGAAGACGCGGCAGAGTCTGCTGTAGCGTTCTAAACCAAAAAAAGGTGAGAGGGTTCAGGTGGGGCAGCTTCAGGGGACGCCCCTCTGATAGGCCCGGAGGAGGAGGAGGAGGAGGAAGAGGGCCTGACAGCTGGCCCTCCCCCCCGACAGTGTACTGTGGCTGAGACAGTGTTGTTGAGGAAAGTGAATGAGAATTTGATTCGTCAGCACTTTTTTTGTTGTTGTCACATTGAGTGTTTTGGGCAGTCCCAGATCTGCTAATCCGCTTCACAGTGTATCTAGCACCAGTGCGTGTTCGTCTCCGTGTGTGTGTGTCTGTCTGTGTGTTGACCTAACATTTTCAATGCGATAAAAACACTGAAGGAAACCATCGATCAGCAGAGCCACACCAGCAAAGCTCGAACCCGAAAAAAGGAGAATACCAAAGTATACGGGTGCAAACGGGTAATAAATAAGGGTAATAATAGTTATTTAAAAATGGTGGTGGTTATTGTGCCCAGCGGAGAATTCTTCTTTACAAAAACAGAACAAACCAAAAAAAGAATGGTCGACTTGGCCTCACATCCACGTACAAATATAAAACAATACATACAAGTGTCTGGATGCTACCGTTGGGAGGGGGGCCGGGGGGGGGGGGGTTCGGCTCTCTTCGCCTGTGCCGGGAAAAGTCCCCCTGAAAGGCGCGTCGCACAGAAAGATCCTTCCCGCATCCGGGGAGAGTTGGAGGAATGGAGGCGGTGACAATAATGGTGAGATATCTCCCCCCCTGTGGGATCCACTGTGTCCAGGAGCACGAGGGGGAGTGGGCAGAGGGGGGGCGGGGGGAAGAAGAGGGGAGACGGTGAAAGGGCCGGGGGGGTCTCAGAAGGACTCGTCGTGCCCCACGGACAGGTCCCCTTTGGGGGTGGAGGCCCTGGACGAGCCTTTGTCCATGCTCTCCGAGCCGGAGCTCTGGTGCTGCTGTTCGGAGCCCGCGCTGGACGTGATGGTGGACGAGGACGTGGACGAGGAGCGGATCTTCTCCTTAAAGTCAGTTATGATCACCGTCACGTTGCCCACGGTGATGGCCAGCTGCTCCGCGGTACTCCGGTCGATGTTCTTCAGCTTGGGCCTGGCGGATGGACGGGAGGGCGGAGAGAGAGAGACAAACACAACGTGTTAGCAGCCAGTCGGCATTTGGATTTTGAGTGTCAGAAAGAAAAAAAAAGATTTATTTAGATTTCATTATGAACGGTTTTTATGAACTGGTTTTCTGCCATAGAAAGACCGAAAGAGAACGGGGAGCCACGCACCTGGAAATGTGAGAGTTCTTGTTGGTCTTGGTTGCCGATTTCCCGGACTGTATGCTCTGTTTGTCGCTGGGGGGGCTCTGATGGCTGTCTGATTTGGGTCTGGGGGAGAGAACGGACAGCGGTGAGTCCGGGGGCCGGTGTCCGGCGGGGACTCGGCCGGCTGCCCGCGTCACTGACCTGGTCTTTTTGCTGCCGGGCTTCTTCGTTACGGCCGGGCTGATGTCCTTCTCTCTGTCGGGCTTGTCTTTGATGGGCTGCTCCTTGTCTAAAAGGGGGTGTCCGCCCTTTTCGGGGGTGTCGGCCTCTGGCCTGACTCTTTCTGGGCGCTCCGCCTCGGGACGCTCCGCCTCTGGACGCTCCGCTTCAGGACGATCCCGCTCTGGGGGCTCCACGTCTGGACGCTCCGCCTCTGGACGCTCCCCGTCTGGACGCTCGTCCTCGGGGCGGCCCTCCGCGACGGCCCGCTCCCCTTCGCCGTCGGGGCGCTCCTTCTCCATGCGCTCGCTCCTCTCTCGCCGCTCCTTTTTGGGCGGGGGGGGCATGGGGTACTGCTGGGCCACCTGCTGAGCCACCAGCTGGGAGTTTATCCGGGGCTTCCTGTGGAGGAGACACAAGCGGGGATTAGTCTTGCGGTGGGACGGCGAGCGGCCCGCGGCCCTCCGCCTGCACCCGCCCACGGCGGCGGGCGGAGACACGGAGACAGAGCTGCTCCCGGCCGCCGCAGAGGTGGAGGAGTGCCTCTCCCCGGAGGGCTAATCTCATTAACTCACGGCTGTAATAAAACGAATGCGCTGGATCACAAGGTGGAACATTTGCGGCATGTCGCTTAGGTCCTCTAATCTGATTACGGCGAGGCCTGGCCCATTTGTCACAGACTGACTCAGACGGACGCGGGGACGCTCTCCAGAAGCCGCAGAGCCCTTTCTGACACGCACGATCGCAAAGCAGCAGCCCCCCCCCCCCCCGGAGCGTTGTCTCAGGTGAGCGGCGTCCGTAGAGCGGACCTCCGCGGCTCGTCTGAAATAAGAGCGCGGCGCTGCACGCAGCCATGCTTTCTGTGGCTTGCTGTGGGAGAGCGGTTTTCAGACAGCTGCTCCTGTGGTTAACCTCAAGCGTTTCAATTTGACTGCCAGTCCACTCGTTCTCGTTTCTGCACAACTCTCACTACCACTCACTACCAGGTCGACGGGCCTCGTGGCGGCCTCACGCTCAGAGCCTCAGCGTTTTGTGCATCCTTTTGTCTTCGTATTTTTCGTGGTTCGGCTCAGTTCTAGCCCCCCCCCCCCCTCCATTTAACCTCCTCCTGACACGGCCTGTAACAGAGGGAGGCGAGCTCTTCCCCGAGGAGGCGGCGGAGGGGACATGCCGGTGATCAGAAGGCAATCAACCGGGGTGTAATAGAGCATCGTGTTGTTACACTCGCACATCCGTCCAATCAATACGCGAGCAGCGGCGAATACAGATGAGGAGCGGGCTGCTGATCAGGGATCTATTAGAAGTTTCTGGTGTGGAGGACACTCGGGAAGTGCTTCGGTGAACATTACGCGTGCCTCCATCTCCGTCTTTCTGTTCACTGTCCCTCACGTATTCAATATAAAACAGACCCAGATTCAGCTGTCGGGTGACCGGAACGGCTTCCCAGGCTCCCAGGTGTTTGTCTCGCTTTAATCGAAGACATTAAATAAGTAGTGCAGTTCATAACGGTCTGCTGAATGAAGATGTATCGATAATCCCTTTGCGGGCAACACCAGTTCGTTACAGCAGACAAATACCACGATCCCCATTTGCTAAATAAATGGTGGGCCATAATCTCCTTCTGAAATGACTAATGCTTATCATTCTTGGCTCATAATCCTCTGCTCTGGACCTCTGGAGTCCCGAAATGTGGTTTAGATGAGAGCTCAAAAGAGCCAACAAGAAACTATTACAGAGCATTTCATATTCGGGCAAGCACCCTAAGTGACATAAAAACACCACTGCTCAAACTACAGTAACCCCCCCCCCCTTCATCAAAGGCCTTTCCATTGCTGGTTCAGAGCCAGTTTCTACACTGGAGCCAGTTCCGATCCGAGGGACAAAATGCTGGCTCTGGTTTCGGGAGAGGGAAAAAAAAAATAAAACCGTCTTTACTGATCCAGCTCCAACATCCGGCCAGTACCAACACAAACTGAAGACGCCCACACATATCCAGCTATGAGTAAACAGCCTGCGAACACGTGGCGCCCTCCAGGACCACAGATGATTCCGTTTGGCTGAGAGCCGTTAGAGGAGGTGGTGAATGAACGCGTGATTGAGTGGCTGATAAGCTCCACACCTCCGGTAACCTTTACAGAGTCAAGTCCCTGAACACAGCCTGAGATTTGCAAGTCAGCTGGCACGATAAAGCCATCCATCTTTCTGCCTCAATATCCATCACACATAAGATAGAGATTGTATGGGGAAAAAAAACAAACAAACATCATAGATGTAACTATTTAAATCTGACTCTCACAAAACTTCTATCCTACACACACACACACACACACACACACACACACACACACACACACACA